CCTCTGTGAAGTATACTACTTTTCCGCAGCCTGCGAAGCTCAAGCTGCCCCCGCGGCTGTGACCCACGCCTATCAGCCGCCAACCGGGACCCGTTCACAAAATTTGGCGGCCTGACAACACACAACACGACATACTTACGGTGGGACTTTTAGTGTCAAGATTCTTCCTTTTTGATATCCCCAGTTCGCATTAGACTCGCTGCCTTCATAATGGAGGCCCCGTCGGCGCTTCGGTCAGTGACCTTCCCCCCGCCATAGAGCCAGCCCCCCCCCAAAAAAATGGCCATACAATTTCTGCCCGAAGACAAGGCAGGACTCCTCTCAACCGTCCTCGAATCACTCCTTTATGGTCAGTGAACTACACTTCAGACTTGAACAACAACGATACTAACTGCACGAAAGGGTTCTCACTCTTGATGTTCATCGGGACTATGTGGATCCTACTCCGAAGACCGGAAGTAAACCGACCGATGGTCGTGGTGGCCTGCCTCTTGTTCTGTCTCAGCACCATCGTAGGCGCTCTATTTTCCGACGCGACTCCCAGCTCAACCATCCTGCCAGCATCTTGGTGTTGACATCAATCGACTGAACAGTGGCCTTATTCTCGCGCGCGACCTCCCAGGCGGACCTGCAGCCTTCTTTGCCAACCCCAGCGAAACCTCGTTCGTGTTCAAAAATGCTGTCTACAGTTTCCAGACTGTGCTCGGAGATGGTGTTGTGGTCGGTCGCATCTCCCGACCTGATTTCCAACGCTGACGCGGTCGTTTAGATATACCGCTGCTATATGGTCTGGAGATCTATATGGGTGTGCATTTTGCCCATGATTATGTGGCTCTCCGTGGCAGGCAAGTTCCCCGAACGACGACATTTTCTTGTTGTTGAACATCTATAGTCACCGCTACTGGAAGTGTGTATACCTGCACGCGCCCGTCGACGGACTCTGCCGACATCTATGCGCGTGAGCTTGGGAAGTGGATCACCGCCTTTTATTCGACTACGCTGGCGTGTAACCTCACTGCAACCGGTAAGTCCACCCCTCCTTTACTATCGTTATTCTGATTCGCTCTATTCCAGCTCTTTTGTCCTACCGACTCTGGACAGTCAACCGCAGTATTCAGCGCAGCCGTATCGGTGGCGGGGTCACCATGCCGGTTCTGCTGGTGGTCCTGGACGCCGGCGTCTTGTACTCCGTCACCCTTCTCTCGGCGCTCATTTGTTTCGTTCTACAATCCAACGGGTGAGTTGTGCGCCGTTACGTTCCATACAACTCTATCTAACGGCCCTCTAGACAATACGTCGTCCTGGACATGGTCACACCGATCATCTCAATTGCCTTTTACATGGTCATCCTGCGCATCGGAGTCACCCAGAACGAACGGTCGAATCACAACACAGACCAAAGTCTTCCTCGACTGCCTCTTTCACGTACAGACAACGGGGGCGGCCGCTCGAAACCGATGCATGTTCACATTCAGGTCGAGCAATCGATGGGAGATCGACGTCTTTCGGTCGACAACAAGGAGAACATGAGCGGGCATGAAACGCAAAGTTTTGGCGGCCCGTTGTGACCCCTCGTTCGTACGTAGTCTTTCCACATAGAAGCGAAATAGACGATCCCTGACAACACTAGTGGATAAATTAGAGCCTAGTAATACCGGGCTGCGAATTATTGAGTCCAGAAATTGCCCAGACCGTTCTCGCCTGCATTCCTACCAGCAGAGCTAGCTCTGCTCAGTGTACATGTCGCACCCACATTCTTTTGTTTTTGAAACGGACCGTTAGCCGTCGCATAAGACGCAAAGTTGACACTCCACTGATTCCTTCAAAGCGACGCTTCTAAGTCCTGCCAACCGCCTAGCCAGATGATCATCAAAACATAGTGACTCCCATTCACTCGCTTCTTGCCTCTTCTCGCTATCCCTGAGGTGCGTCCGTTCGGGCGCAGTGCAGTTGTTAAATTTCACACCTTGCACAGTTGTCCTTGTGTGTTTCTGGCCAAATTTCACTCATATCCTTGCGCCGCTTTCCCTTCTCCCTTTGGCTGTTCTTCTTGATTGACACCGCGCATCCCGGGCAACTTTAGGCAACTTTTAGCCTCAGGCACGATGCCGAAATGTCCGTAATGTGGAGATGTACCGATGTCCGCTCTTTGCCGTGTCGTAAGTACACCCAAGATCTTTACAGGAAGCTTTTAATAAGTCCGGACGCAGATCAACGGAATTAATCCTCACTTTTCTCTCTCTGGGCCCCATTCCCAACATCCACCCCCCTCTCAAAAACTACTAACACTCGGGATGTCTGTGTATCTCTATGGTGTCGGAGGCGGAACCCTCCTTGTCGCTCTTTACTCGTATTTTCTGCAAGCCAACCGGAGCAAACTCCCCCTGCCTCCGGGGCCCAAGAAACTGCCCCTCGTGGGCAACCTCTTCGATATGCCCAAGAGCTTCGAATGGGAAACCTACATGGAGTGGGCCAAGAAATATAGTACGTTTCGTTCCATGTTGTTAAAGGAAGACACGCTGACGTTGAACGTTGAACATGATATAGATTCTGACATCCTGCACTTGAACGTTGTGGGAACCTCGATCATCGTGTTGTCGACCGCGGAAGCCACCAACGATCTCCTCGAGAAGCGGGCATCTATCTATTCAGACAGGCAGGATTAATGTCTCGCCTCGGTTGATAACACAACTAACCCACTTTTGTCAGGCCACGGTTCCGAATGGTGAACGATTTAATGGGTTGGGATTTCGCTCTCGGTGAGTTATTTATTGGACTTTCGTCTCCGCAGAAACTAATGTTGAACGATCAGCCTTCATGAAATACGGTATGCTTCCGAGTCTACTCTCGTCCCCGGACAAGACCTTAATCGCATTTATTTGGCAGGTGATCACTGGTGCGTTCCACGCTATGCCCCGAGACGATTTGCTAATACTTTCCTACCTAGGCGCGCCCATCGCCGATTGTTTCATGAGGTATTCAACGCCGTCGCCGCTCAAAGCTTCCGTTCCAAAGAGCGTGAAGTTACCGGAGAGCTCCTCTACGATTTCCTCCAAGACCCAGAGCACGACGTTCTGGATCATCTGAGACAGTGCGTATACGCGTTTATTCTTTTTTCTTCTTCTTCAACCACGACTGAATAAATCAATTATTCAGCATGGCGGCCAAATTCGTGATGTCTGTGGCCTATGGCCTCGATGTTCAGCGCTCGAACGACCCCTACGTCGAATTGGCCGACAAGGCTGTTGAAGGCCTGGTCACCGCCGTCGTCCCCGGAAGATTCCTCGTCGTACGTCTCATTCATTATTCAGGCGCCGTTTATACATGTCTCAACTTCGGTCGCAGGAATCGATGCCCTTTTTGAGACACGTCCCGGCGTGGTTCCCTGGTGCTGGTTTCCAGCGCAAAGCGCAGGAATGGAGAAGACTGTCGCGCGGTATGCTCGAAAAGCCTTACGCCGAGGCCAAAGAGAAAATCGTACGTTGGCTAATTCGATTTCGTACCCCATATCTCATTCTCCGAATCACAGGCCGCAGGGAAAGCCCAGCACTCGTTTACGCTGGACGGGCAGCGCATGGTGGATGCCGCGGAGGACAAGGCCTATGTCGCGCAGGTTGTGCAGAACACCGCCGGGACGATGTATACGGCAGGAACTGGGACTACCGTCAGTGCGCTCGGCACCTTCATTTTGGCGATGCTCGCGCATCCGGAGGCGCAGAAAAAGGCGCAGGCGGAGATCGACGCGGTGGTCGGGCAGGATCGGCTCCCGGACTTTGACGACGAGGCGGCGCTGCCGTATGTCACCGCGTGCATGAAGGAGAGTCTGCGGTGGAAGAATGTCACTCCCATCTGTGCGTGTTCAACTTGCCATGTTGGCGTTTTCTCACCCCCCTTGCAGCTATTCCTCATTTCGTGGCCGAGGAGGACGAATATCGCGGTTATAGAATCCCCGCCGGTTCCGTCGTCATTCCCAACACCTGGTACGTCCGTCGTCAACCTGACCACCATTGCTCCGTCTAATCCTGAATTCAACTTGGCAGGGCTATCCTCCATGACGAGGTGCGTTATGCCATTCATTCAACCCTCAGCGTCTCACACTAACGTCTGTTACTCCAGGTCATGTACCCCGACCCCTACTCCTTCATCCCCGAGCGCTGGCTCCTGGACGGAAAGCTGAACCCGGCCATCATGGACCCCGACATGGTCTTCGGCTTCGGGCGCAGGATCTGTCCCGGGCGCCACATGGCGCGCGCCCAGGTCTGGCTCGCCATCGCATCCATCCTGGCGACGTTCGACATCACCAAGCCCGTGGACAAGGACGGAAAGACCATCGAGCCCGACTTTGGCTATTTCGCCGGCATGGTCGTGTGCGTACTATTTCAACCTGATTTCAACACATCGAACTTACCCTGTGATGTCGCAGGCAACCCCTCCCTTATAAATCGTGCCTGAAGCCCAGGTCTGAGAAGGCGACGGCGCTTATCTTGGCTGGCGTCAAAAAGTAAAAAGTTGAACTTTGGTTGAATTTGAGTTTGGTTGAGTTTGGGCCGGAGGGCGTCGGAGGAGGTGGGCCGGGTTCGCCCGACACAGTTGTTATCGTTTTAATCCTGTCTATTGCGCTCGTTACAAAATTATTGCATGTTAATTGTTTCATTCTTTGACCGCACTGTGGCCAATAGTTGTCAAGATCTTCAACTGACTAACCAAGGAGTCGAAGGGGCCCGACCTGGCCCGACAGAACTTGGAAACGACTCACGAGTGACACCTCGACGTTCCATTTCACCGTGGTCTTATGTTCAAACGACCAAAACACCTTCAAAAATTAAACCCACACCACTACGGCAAGCGTAGCCTCACCCCACCGCGTTGGCGGGCTGATGAGTCCTGGAACAATGCGCACGGTTTAGTACGTCACCCACCTACATGCGACTGTGTCGCCGCGGTAGAGACGCTTTGGCCGTGCGTCCTCCCAAAGAGGGATTGAACTGGGTTCAGGTTTTTGCCACCGAGAGGAATCGAACCTCTACTTGCCCGCTTCCGGATTTTACTCCGGGGCGGGCGGGGTTACCGCTGGACTATGGTGGGCTTTGTGGGTGGAGGGAGCGCGTAGCTCAGAGGCGGGTTGCGGTGAGATTGAAGCCGGCGTCCACTACGACGCTACCAACTTTTTCAGAGAAATGTGGCAGAAATTTCGCAACCGCCGGACTTGATCCATACTTTCACACCAAGCGAGACTCACAGCAAGTTCGAATAGAGTGGGAGAGGTCTTGGAGAGCAGCCGAATGTTGAAGACGTTTTCCGAAGGTGAGATAGCACGGCACACCGAGTCCATATCGGAATCTATCAATTCGAGTTCCAAGAATGAGTGTCTAAATTAAACCGTCCAGCCAGTTTGCAGCCTTGGGCGGAGGTGGGGTGATGGGAGTCGAAGCTTTTGGCGTCGCCGCGGTTGGAGGGAGGTAATCGGCGAGGACGGAGTCGAAGTCCGCCTGGGATTCTGGTGGGTCGGTCGTTAATTGTGTACCAATAGAAGGGAAAAGGCGTACTTGGAGCGGGATTCCGAGCCTTGAGGGACTTTTGCAGCATCGTGGAAACGATTAACTGGCGGAGGGCGGGGCCGTCGAGGGGCTGCATGGAATAAACGGATAGATGAATAAATAAGACGAGGGAGGGTATTGCGCGCGAGTCGCACCTTGTATTCCTCCGCCTTCTTCGAGGGCTGAGCCTGCGCGGTTGGCGGGGGCGACTCCTTGAACGTGCCCATGGGCCCGGAGGCCTTGCCGAGGAACGCGAGGACGTCGCCCTTGGTGAGCATCCCGCGCACGCCCGTGCCCTTGATGTCGGACGGCTTCGCAACGTCGTGCTCCAGAAGCAACCGGTGTACGGAGGGGAAGAGGGGCCGGGAGTGGGACGGCGGGGTCCCGGAGGAGTGGGACGCCGCGGCTGGCGGGGGTGACGGTTGTTGTTTGGATTCTTGGGAGGAGGAGGGGGGAGAAGGTTCGGAGCTCTGCTGCTGCTGCCGTCTGGGCGACGCGTCCTCCTTTGGCGGTTCGAGGTTGGAGATGTCGTCCCCCTCCTCGGCGAGCAGCGCGATGACCTTTCCGACCACGATGTTTTTCGAGCCGTCCGGGACCTAGGAACGAACGAAGCCGTTAATCCTGGGTTTCTTCGCATTTCAAGGGAGGGGAAGCGTACGAGTATCAGGCCCATTACGCCGTCATCCTGCGCTTCGACGTCGATGGTGGCCTTGTCCGTTTCCTGCATGCACGAAATTCATTGTTAAATAACCCGGAGACGTGCTCGCGCAACGTACAATCTCGAGCAGAACGTCCCCCGCGACAAACGCCTCCCCGTTCTTCTTCTTCCACGCCGCGATGCCGCCCTCGGTCATCGTTGGGGACATGGCGGGCATTTCGAGGTGGGTGACTGCGCGCCGGGCATGGGATTGGTGGAGCACTAGAAGGCTTGTTGGTGCATATCAAGGCGATATATTGCGAGCTTACATCGTCTGAGAAGTGGGCTCGTCGCCGCCCGCGATAGTGAGGCCATGGTCATGAATATTTTGGCGGGTTGTTCCGATCAAAAGCCAGCTTCAGCTTGAACTGCGACCACAAACCATGAAACGCTTCCAAAAGCACAAAAGAGCCTCTTCAACTTTACAAGTTCACGCCCGGGGCCTCTCTGCTGGCCTCGGTCTCAAGAAGCCACTCTGACTTCAAATTTACACCAAACTCTTCAATAATTTCTCCCCAGTTCATGGTAAACATTACTAGACAATACTGTTCTCGACTGTTCTTGGCCTGTGTGCTGGACCTAGACATTCTCAACGTTCAATACGCCCTTGAAGTTCCAATCGCGTTGCTGCTTCCTTCGGCCGTGCAGGATATCCAACGACGAGAATTTCATGCTCGGACCCGTTCTTACTGGACGAAGCCATCCAGCTACTCTTTGTCTACGTGGAGGAAGAAACGCTTCAGCTTAGACGTGGGCACCAAAAGGACACGGACACGGACATCCCGCCGAGCGTCGCTTCCAAAGCGGAATCGTACTGTGCCATTCAAACCCATCACGGACCGTCTGGATCCCGCTGAACCGTATACAGGCTGTCATCGGGAGCCTAGAGCTAGTAGAGGTGAACTACCCACCCCCTGTGGTCCGTGCCCATCCCCGACTTGCCCGACTCGGGCGACACCAACCCTGTCGTGGTGCGTGACAATACTCGATGGACGCGCATGAATATTTCTTTGTGGGACGCGCATGAGTACTTATTTCTTTGTGGGCATCGCGCACGATGTTGCCATACTCTCCGGCGTCGTTGAGCGCGTTGTCGAGGCAGAACATAGCCTACGGCCCGCTTCGTAACTTTTGTACAGTAAAATAATGAAGAATACTACGGTGTGCCTGGGTGTCCGATCAGGCCGAATGGCCGATAGCATCCGCTTGTGTCCTCGACATCACTCGGCGCAAACTTTGTAAGTCCTTAGACCCGGTTGCGCTCGTCGCTTTCCCTAGTACTCTGCTCGCCATCGACGCTGCCAGCAGCCAAGCTAGATATCGCATGCTTCTGTGATCCCCTCGTTGCCTCGCTCTTACTCTCACTAAGCTTCGCGAACCCACTCCGACGTAACACCAACGTTGGGCACGCACTTGTGGCTTGTACCGTACTCCCATGCTGGCTAGCGGTCCCAGCACACTGCTGCAATATGCTCGGACGTACGGCAACAGATTCTTTCTTCAGTTCGGACTGTAGGTCTTGACGCGTTCCCGCACGAGCACGCTCACAGTTGTGGCCCACAGACACTGCGCGACGCACCAAATCCGCATTATTCTGGTCTCCTGCGTCGTGATCACCTCCCTCTTCTACCCCGCACTCGCCCTCTACTCGTCTTCAGGCCCGAGTTTCTTATCGGTGCTCGACGTCACCCGCTCGCAGTATCCGCAAGACCTCGTGAACCTCTGGGCGGGCCACGACTCGCTACGCGTCCTGGGGGACGCCGTTTCCTTGGCCAAGACTCGCGCCAGCTGCGAAGGCAATAGCACGCTACGCGTCGAACGAATCCTCATACAGAGTCCCTTCGACGGTGGTGTAAATCACCAAATCCTCCAGTCCACCTTGGAGCTAGAACGCCGCATAGACGATCTCGACCTCCCATGCCTCAAGCGTCCCGACGGGACATGCTTCGTTCTCTCCCCCCTCGCGTTCTGGCGCCACGACGAGGCGACCCTCCGCGCCGACCCCTCCCTCCTCGACACCCTGCTCAGCCGGAATATTTCCGTCGCAGGAGTCCCTATTACGCCCCAGATGGTGCTCGCGGGCCGCGGGTCCGACGAACCACACGTCGCTGGCACCCATTTTGACTTTGCAATGTTCCTCGCCCTCACATACTTTTTCCCAAACTCCGACTGCCTGGGGAGCGCCGAGCACGTCGCATGGCTAAAAGCGGTCGACGAAGCAAGCCAGAATGCTCCGCGGACGGTACACACGCAGGAACCGACGTTGATCGCGCTCGAGGTCGGTCCCTCTCCCTATCTTTACGCACTTCGTGCAATCATTCAAAAACGTTGCTGCAGTTTGACGAGATTCGCGCGAGCTCAAGAGGGTGGACGGCGATCTCGGCACTGTTGTACCTCGCCTATTCGGCATTTTTCGTGTATGTTTCGTGGTCCATGCGGCGCATGGACGCCGTTCATTCGCGCATCGGTATCACATTCACGGCCCTGGTCGAGATCACCGTTAGTACCATTACCAGTGTCAGCGTTTGCGCGCTGGTCGGGTTCAGGGTTACGATGGTCCCTTGGTAATCGTCCATCCAGTCGTTCAATACCGCCATGCTCATTCATTACCTCGCAGGGAACTGTTGCCCATTGTGATTGTGTTTGTCGGCGCCGAAAACATGTTTAATTTAGTGAGTGAATCTCTTTACTCCACATGAAAGCTCTCTCATTGTGCTTCAAGGTCGATGCAGTCGGGAAAACCTCTGTCACCCTTTCTGTTAAACAACGTATTGCCCAAGGACTCAGCCATGCGGGCACCTCCAATACCCTCAAAGTTGTATCGTATAACAGCATTCTCGGTGTCATCGCTGTGTTTGCAGCGGGCGCCATCCGCCAATTCTGTGTTTTCGCAATCGTCGTTCTCGTAGCACATTGGTTCCTAGCACACACCTTTTTCATGGCTGTCCTATCTATCGACATGCAGCGCCTCGAGGCAGGTTTCCTCATATCAGCTCCATACCGACCCTAACCCGAACTTGCAGCTCGATGATCTCCTTCGGCAAAATCCAAGCCTGGCGCCCGCCATTCCTCCTCCTCCAATCGCAAGAGAGGTGATGTCAAAGAACTCGCGTTCTCCGTGGGAAAAGCTTGTAATCATGAGCCAAAACATGCTCCGCGGACGCGCGACGAAGAATATCAGTTTGCTGATGGTATGTGCACGACACCGCGTTTTGCTGTCGCTTAGACTTTCTTTCACAGCTCCTCGCCATCACCGGGACGCTGTACTACACGACATACCCGACCGAACCGCGCCTCCCCATGGAAGAGATGCAGCGTGCGCTCACGCGCACTAACCACACCTCCGCCCTCCCCCGCCAACCCTCTCCTGCCTGGAACATCTGGAAGACGCTGAACCCCAGCGAGAAGACACTGCACCTGCGCATCGAGGCGCCCGTGGTGCTGACCTTGCGCGCGGATTGGAATAGCCCCGATGCACCCGCCTCTCATCGGTCGAAATTCTTTTCGATGCGCGTCCTCTTCTGGATGCTCAAGATCGTCGTCCTGCCCATCACGGCTACCACTACCGTCCTGTGGGGGCTCCTGCTGTATCTACTTAAAGACGCGGAGCTCCTCGAGGCACAGCGCAATCGGCCGGACATCGACTCGCCGGAGGTCGTGGAGGAGGACACGGCCAGCGCCTTCGAGGGCCGCATCTCGTTCTCCACGCTCCCGCGTGCGTTGGCGAGCGACGTGGATCTCATCGCGACGAGCCAGGATGGGGGGCTGGTGGTGTCGGTTGGGACGCAGAACGAGGTGATCATATGGCGGATGCTGAGTCGGGTGCATGTCGCGATCGACGTCACCGACGT